AAAAAAAAAAAAAAAAAAAAAAACTGAGCGTTTTCGAAAAAATATCTGAAGCAAAAATTCCTCTTTTTAACGGTATCTCCCTATGCTTTTCGTTTGCAGGCCGTCGGTGACGTCGACCGCGGGTCTGCAGATGCCCAGGGACTGCGAGCAGCAATGTCCAGAGCTGGACGCGTGCATAAACGCGTCGCTGTGGTGCGACGGGATCTCTCACTGTCCATCGGGGTACGACGAGGCCCTGACCCACTGCTCGGTATTGCTTCAGCTGCCGCCTCTCCACCTCGGCCTCGGGATCCTCGCGGTCGTCACGATCCTCGGCGTGATCTTCTTCGTAATCTGGCGGATCTGCAGGCAACGGGCGAACCGTTCGATATCGCAACACCGGCTGAAGAGCATCTCCTCGGAGACGGCGATCATCGACGGGAAGGAAGTGATTTGCTGACACAGCGACAGTTCTGTGCGGTACGTCGAGGTCGACCGGGTGACCACCGTGTGACGATCGCCCACCATCGTCCCGTTCGTCGCTCGTCGTCGCGTCGTCGCGTCCCACTTCGCGTCCTCCTCTTGAAGGAGGCGCCCGTTCCGGCGCCACGGCGACGCCCGCCTCCGCGTAACGCGCAGAACTGCTCTGCTCCGCTGGTACACTTCTACGTAGAGGATTTAGACACTGCTCTAGACGACGGTTCGCTGTTCGATGACCTCTGGACCCCGGCTTGCGCTACATTCTTCGCATGGCACGGTGTGAAACGTTCACGGTGTTTTCCGCGCTTCTTTCACGGGGCCCCATTCTCTTCTTTCTTTTCGGATTCTGGGGATTTCGAAAGAAATCTCGTTAATTGCAAAAGCTTTAGATGCTTGCAGTCCCGTTAACAGTCGGACGATCGTTTTTATATACAGTAGTGCCCACGTAACTGTCCAACCGGGACCGAACGTAGACAATTAAGAGGAGGAGTGATGTATTCCAGGAATTGGCGAAAGAAAGAGCGTCAACTGTTTTATGGTACCAGACACGGGCGTATTGTTTACTATATTATTCGATTGTGTAGAAATTTGACATTTTAACTTTTTTTTCAAGTTGAATACAT